CACTTGGTCAATGAAAACCTCTACCTTGCGTGAGGCGACACGCTGGAAAGCAAAAGGCAGTCGACTGTTGAAAGGTGTTGATGTGCGTCTCTTACCATTTGCTAGCGCTTTTCAATCTTCTACCCTCAAAGTTTAGGTCTTATTAGGATAACTCGTGATGATCTTTCTTTGCGATGTGATGATAAGGGTCAGTATTGAGGTGTCATTTCCCCATCTTTATGTTCTTGAGGTTTGGCAAGGCCGGATGAGATTGTGTTACAAAGGCAATATTTTCTTCGGTGCGCGCGCTATTTTCTTTGTGTCAGAGTGTTCTCTCCTTAAGTAATAACTCTAGAGATACATTTCTCAGAACCCTCATCTAATTTTCCTCTATTAATAGTAATAATAATAATAAGAATAATAACAATAATAAAAGATTTATACCGCGCCAGTATCCTACTGTTCAAAGGCGCCTACAAAAACTTTAACATTAACACTTAAGACAGCTAATATTAATTATAAAAGGCTTTTCTAAAAAGTAAAAGTTTTTAATCTACTTTTAAAAACAGACAGAGACTGAGCATTTCTAATTTCACGTGGCAAAGCATTCCATAATGATGGTGCTGCTACAGAGAAGAATCTTGCGCCATATGTTTTCAAGTTATAGGATGGAGAAACCAGAAGGTGCTTGGGTGATGAGCGTAGTTGACGCGATGGGGTGTAAGATGTAAGCAAATCACAAATGTACGACGGTGCCAAGTTGTTAAGTGCCTTGTAGGTTATAAGTAAAATCTTAAAAATAATACGTTGATTAACGGGAAGCCAATGAAGATTGAAAAGAACAGGCGTAATGTGATCATGCTTTTTTGTAAGTGTGACGAGGCGCGCCGCGGCATTCTGGACGTGTTGTAGCTTTTTTATAGTGTAGGCTGGTAAGCCATACAAAAGGGAATTACAGTAATCCAGCTTCGAAGATACAAACATATGAACCAGCAATTCAGTAGTGGTCGCTGAAAGATATTTCCTGATATAGCTAATATTTCACAAATGATAAAATGAAGATTTGCAAATGTCAGTAATATGATCCTTAAAGCAAAAATGGCTGTCGAACATAGTGCCGATATTCCTCGCCGATATTCTC